TTAACGTCATATCCTGAGTGAACTTTTTGTCTGATTCCTAATAATAGCAACTCTCTTCCGGCTGATATGCTTGTCCACACATATGATGGGCTGCTAGCATTAATTGGTCGCAAGGGCGAACTCAGTCTGTAATATATGCCTCTCAACACGCGAGCTACCAGAGAGTCCGGGTTCTGCACCAGTCTCCATAGTTGTTTTGCTAATAACGCAAGGTTAAACTCATAAATATTATACTTTTTATCAAACTAAGTAGCAAATTAAATATTAGTGTACAAAAGAATATTCTTTCTTTTCTTAAATAAACTACGAAATTACCTAATAGGATTAATATACATATGAAAATTAATGATTATGAATAATACATATTTCATAACAATAATACATATTTCATAACAGTATATTATATATATTATGTGATTCCACGCATTTCAGAAACTCAAAGAAATCATATCATTATAAAGAAAGCGCAAACATCAAAACAAAACAAACCAAACACCAAATCAAAGAAAAAAACACACAGAATGTCAAAATTTATTCTCTTAGGCAATCTGAAGTCTCATAATCCATAAAGTCATACTGCTCATGATCAAAGTTTTTTTCCCATCATGGTGGACCAAATGGGCTTTTAGATTCTTCCCTTTCTGGCTCTCTTGGTAAAGGTCCCAAAAATATCTGGAAGTCCTACAATTCTTAGCCCAATGGTTGTCCATTCCACACCTGTGGCACACTGATTTGGACGAGTGTGGTGGTTTAGAGATACCACCACGTTCTCTGCCTCGACCGTGGCCGAAATTGGGCCCACAACCACGGTTATAGTGGTTCCCACGGCCATGGGAGCTATAGTGTCCACGCCCACCACGTCCTCTCCATCCGCCACGGCTATGACCATGTGGTTTATCACTCTGGACATGGTTACTTTCTTTAGAATCTTACTTTTCTTCTATAGCCTTATTGGCTTCTGGTAATGGGGCTGATCCAGGAGGTCTCATCTCACTATTCCTCATCAATAATTCATTATTAGTCTCGGTCAGCAGTAGACACGAGATCAGATCAGTATATGTGGTGAAGCCTCTTTCTCTGTATTGCTATTGCAGCAACACATTGCTTGAATGGAATGTAGAGAAAGTCTTTTCTAGTAACTCCTTCTCGGTTACCTCTTCACCACAAATTCTCATCTATGAGACGATTTTAAGTTATATTCATCCACGGATTTGTAGTCCTGGAATCTGAGATTCCTCCACTCATATCTAGCCTTTGGTAGTAACATTGTTTTCTGGTGATCATATCTCCGCTGTAAGGCGGTCCAAAGGTCTAGAGGATTTTCAATAGTGAGATATTGATCTTTTAGACCCTCAGTCAGATGATGGCGAATAATACTTATTGCCTTGTATCTATTTATATCATACTCATTGTTATCTTCGATAATAGTCTCACTGAGTCCTTTTGACCTCAGATTGATTTTTGTATCTAGTGGCCATTGCAAATAGTTATCTCCAGAGAGATTTAGGGCACCATAATCCAGATTGCAAATTTTCGACATCTGAAATCATATATCAATCGATTCAGGGTTTCATAATTCATGGAATTCATGCGGCCATATCAAACAATCAAGTCAAGATCAATGCATCAGCAAGTAAGCCACACGACTATGAGGTTATAATGTAATACAATCGAGGCCACATGCCCATACAGTCATGATGCAAGCAAAAGGCCACACGGCTAGATAGATATATGATGCATACAATCCTAGCTTTTGGATTCTATATGTGATCAAAGGTTATAATGCACTAAGACCACATGGTCACGAGGTATGAAGCAATAAGGCCACACGACCTATATGATATATGGTGCAAGCATCCCTAGCAATTTGTTTCTATATGCATGGTCAAGAACTCAATCAAACAATGCATGAAAATCGGATTTAATTAAGGGTTTACCAATTTCAGAACGAGTGATCGGATACATACAATGGCAGCTAGAGTTTACGTTTCAGATTCAAGGTATAGCATGAAAACAAATAATCTAGCACCTTAGCTTTCATGCAACAAGATAAATCAATCAAATACGCAAACAATTTCTAAATCTCAAAACAAAATCAATTCGCAGATTTAGGGTTTATCTTAGCTAGGCTAACAATACGCATTTTAGGGTTTAGTGTTTCAGGTTAGGGTTTCAATCATGACAAATAATCAACCTAGCGTACGATCCTTAAATCTCAAAACAATTTAGAGAAACTAGCATTCGGATTTAACAATATGCAATTTAAGGTTTCAAGGCCTTTAGGGATTTAAATTCGAGATTTAGGGTTTCAGATTCAATATGTCATATGAATCAGATAATTTATCAACCTAACTTTTTAAAAAAATCAATCAATGCTATTAATCAAAATCAATATGCAATTTAGGTTTTTAGGGGCTTGATCAAGAATTAAGGTTTCAGTTACCAAAGCAATCAATCTAGCAACTTAGAGTTCTTAGAATTTGTAGGGTTGAACCAACCACCAAGAGAAAGAGAGAACCGCGAGATTGGAACGAGCTTTGAGATTTTCGGGTTGTGGTAGTGCTATCGGATCGCGAACGACTGAGATTGTCTAAGAGCTTCTCGTGCGCGTGGTTTGTTGATAGGATTGCAGGGACTGAGATTGTTGAAGAAGCGGCTGGTCGGATTTGATTTTGAGAAGGGAGATCGCGAATTAGGGTTCTGCGAGCTAGGGCTTCGCCGGAAAAGGAAAATCCGGTCTAGGGCTTCGCCGGAAAAAGGAAAGAGACGCGAATTAGGGTTTCTCGGGTTTAGGGTTCACCGAGAAAAGGAAAGAGCCGATGGCGGCTAAGTGATCTCCAGCGAAAGCTAGGTTTTTTTTTGGTTGGGTTTTAGCTTAGGGTTTAGAGTACAATCGTGTTGATAACGTGTTGTAAACTAATGAGAGAATAGAGGAATTGGTGTGTATATTACTCATAACATAGGACCCTTATAGAAAAAATTAGATGGGCGATGAATGGAAAGTACAAAACCAATACAAATATGGAAAAATGCTAAATTTAAACCGTTATATGGAGACACACGGATTGGGCCTAAATAATATGGTTATGGCCCATCCACTAATTTGTTCATAACAAGAGAAAATGATCATCTCTAAGAATAAATTTTCTCAAAACTTACCTTCGTGCCACTTGTCAACCATTCAGTATTATAATAATTAAAATATTTAAATTAGTTTTTGAGAAATCATCATGGTTACTCACCACTACATAATCTTTTATAATTTCTAATGCAAACTTGCATATTAAAATTACAAGTTTCAATAAAATTTATTTTGCGTAATTTATCTCCAATCTTTTCTAGAAGAGAATGATGTGCACACATCCTTGAATTGTGTTTTAATATATTTATAAGTGATTAAATTTAACAATAAAATATATGTAAGTTTTTTTAAATATATGTTTACATTCTCATCATGTAATAGAAAATTCATTTTTATAAGTTTGTTATTTTTTTTATTTATGTTTTCCACTTTCTAGTAATATATACGACACTACGACAAAAAAAATATTTTATTTAAATGATCTTATGTAAATAACTTTATGAGTTCATTATCTACTTGATGACTCTCGGTAAAAAATAAATAAAATTTAAATTAGAAAGAAAATACTAAATAAGTAAAAGTAAAAAGTAATAAAGTAACTTGTGACCAATACAAATATATACAAAATAATGTCGTAATGAAGTGACATTATAACTAGTTATATATTTTCTAACTAGGTGTTTTGCCCGCATTTGCGGGTCTAAACATTTTATAATTATTTTATTAATACATCTTTTACTAATTAAAAGATTATAATGATAAAGTATTAATTTTTTTTATTTTTTGAAACCAATAATATTTCTATTTTCATTTAACAATTCTTACATATATTTCTTTGTAATTTATGTTCACTCTTAAAAATAATTTTAAAATCAAATAATATTTTTCAGTTATATAAAATTAATAAGTTGACTTGATTAATATTTAGTTATGTATTTTCTATTGTTTTAAGTGTTAATTTTTATCAAAATATATATTTTCAGATAACATCACAATATGTATCAGAATTATCTTATTTAAAAAGATATTATTTAGATTTTGGATAATTAAATAATTTTAAAATCAAATAATATTTTTCAGTTATATAAAATTAATAAGTTGACTTGATTAATATTTATTTATGTATTTTATATTGTTTTAAGTGTTAAATTTTTATCAAAATATATATTTTCAGATAACATCACAATATATATCAGAATTATCTTATTTAAAAAGATATTATTTAGATTTGGATAATTCTTTTGATTATTATTAATTAGTTACTTATCTAATCCAAATAACTTAAATTCGTTTTTATTTTGTATGTCATTTATATATTATTTTCATTAAGGGTATAAACGATATTAACCGGTCTAACTTTTAACGTGGAAGCTCCGTTGCGAAAAATCACTTCGCAAATAATAGTATAGACATGTACAAACATATTCATAATATTCATATTTAATAATGTACAACAACATTATTGTAATTTTACAATAATTACATCATCATAAGATGTAGAAAATATAATAATAAAAGAATTAGCGGTGTATCAAGAAATTAAAAAGATACTCTTTTAGTTAACAACAATAAAAATATATTCATGTAATATTTTTTTGTAAATACTATTATATTTTGTATAAATAATATGAGAAAACTTAAACCTATATACATAGATGGGAATATTTGTCGTTCTTTTTGACTTATGATTTTAATTAGTAATTTTCTATGTAGTTAATAAATGGGCCCTTAATGGACTCAATTATTCCAGACGTGATATAGCCCAATAAAATTGCCGCGAAGGCGATGATTCAAAAACGGCAACCGAATAAAATCGAGCGGTGAAACTGTCTACATGCAACGTTTTCCCGCTACTCCCATTTTCCCTCTATGTTTATTTTTTCCTTTTTTCATTATTATTTTTCTGCAATTTCCTCTTTAATAAACCAGCTTCGACCATGAGATTGGTTATCCTCATCGATTCGATCTCAATCTCAATCTCGATCTCTCTCCTTTCTTCCTACGATGCCTACCATCGCCGGACCCAGTTCGTCTCCTCACGAGCACATCGTGGCCGCCAGATCGGAGAATACCGGAGGTCGTGAAGTCAACACACCTCGTAAACGCAAGCTGAGATCAGATTCCGCCGCAGAGGTTACATCGACGGCGATTGTAAATGAGAGTTTGAAATGGAAATCTCCTCGACGGTGTATTGTTTCAAGTCCCAGGACGCTTACTAAGGTAATTAATGAGCTCCCTGTCTAGCGATTAGGATTTGCATAATCGTGAGATAATCGATTTAATGGCCGCTCTTTCAGTTGCTGCTTGTTTGAATCTATCATCATCATCAACTGATAGGCCGATTGTTTTGCAGGAGGTTGAGGAAGATTCTAAAGGCGAGCTGGAGAGTCCAGTGATATCAGCTGTGGAGAAGCGATTTGATTGTTTAGATGTTAAATCAAAGTGGAATCCTAGAGGTATACATGATCGATCACCTTCTGATTCTTCAGTGTTCAAGTGACGCTAATTAGTATCTGTTTGTTGATGCACAGATGATGATCAAATGAGAGCTGTGAAGGAAGCATTGCATGTGTCGAAGGCCCCATCAACTGTTGTCTGCCGTGAGGATGAGCAAAAACGTGTTTTAGAGTTTGTTAAAGGTTGTATGGAACAGAAGAAGGCTGGGAGTTTGTATATATGTGGCTGCCCTGGAACTGGGAAGTCATTGTCGATGGAGAAAGTAAGACAACAAGCTGAAGACTGGGCAAAGCAGGTATTCAGTCATGTGTCTGTATCTTTAGGACTTGTGATATTAGTGTGAATCTTTTAATAGAAAAGACTGAAGTTTCTTCATGGATTCTTTCAGGAAGGTTTGCCTTGTCTGGAAACAGTGTCTGTTAATTGCACATCGCTGACGAAAACAACAGATATCTTCTCCAAGGTAAGACCTTAGACTTGAAATATCTCGACGTTGTTTGTCTCATATTGACATAGTTGTTTTGATTTCAGATACTTGCAGAGAATGAGACTGGGAAGAAAGTTAATGGCTCATCTTCACCTCTACAACAACTTCAGGTTTTGTTTTCTCAAAAGCAGCAATCATCCAGCACAAAGATGATGTAGGTTCTCCGTTTTTTTTATTGCGGTGATTTGATGACCTGCTAAGATTTTAAATTAATTACACCGTTTCTCATTCAAATTCTATATGCAGGCTGATAATTGCAGATGAGATGGATTACTTGATCACAAGAGATCGAGGTGTCCTTCATGAGCTTTTCATGCTCACAACTTTGCCATTTTCAAGATGTATACTAATAGGTACCGTTCGTTGCGATCATAACTATAGTATAAAGTTTATTTATGCACCATGTTTTCTCTGGTCATACAAACTCTAAGTTTATTTAATCTTTTCCAGGTGTAGCAAATGCAATAGACCTCGCAGATCGTTTTCTTCCAAAATTGAAGTCTCTTAATTGTAAGTGTTTTTTCCATCGTTGTTTACAGTTGGAACAGTATTTAGATTTGATAAGAGCAACAAATGAGGTTAGTCCTTCAACTTATTTCTCAATCAATGCAGGCAAACCTTTGGTTGTCACTTTCCGTGCCTATTCTATGGAGCAGATCCTAAGGATACTGCAGGAGAGGCTTGTGGTAAGTCTGCCTCTAATTTGTGGTATAGGGTGCTTCTGCAAAGAGAGAAATGTTTGATAAAGTGTCTAGTAATTCTAGTGAAAATATGATGCAAGGAATTAGGTAGGATGGATCTATTGCCAAGGAACTAGTATACTAATAAATTCAATTATGATCATAAATTCTTATATTTTTCAATTATAATTTAACAGGAACTTCCATATGTTGCATTTCAATCAAAAGCCCTGGAGCTTTGTGCCAGAGTAAGAATATATATGCCCATTTTCTCTCCCAGTCTAGGCACTTCCTTTTTTTCCTTTTAACATTCTATGCTGATGTTCATTATCTTTGCTTTTTGCCAGAAAGTATCAGCTGCATCAGGAGACATGAGAAAGGCTCTATCTGTCTGCAGGTGAATATTTCTTCTGAAAGTTTCTTCTTTGAAATTACATAAGATAAATAAGATAGTACCATCCTTTATATATTTTAATTGTCTACTCTTCAAATCAAACACACTGATGTTGACATTCCCAGTTTTTTTTTTAATATTGAATTGATATCCAGGAGTGCTCTAGAAATCTTAGAAACAGAAGTTAAAGTGTCAACAGATCAAGAATCACAAAGTCCAATTACAGAGAATCAAGTGGTTAGTATTTTCTCTCTTTACTTCACTCAACTCACCTACTTACGATGTATGTATGAAGGATCCAAATAGTCTGGTGTCTTATATCATAACTGTTATCAATCGATAACTCTACAGGTCAAGATAGATCATATGGTAGCTGCATTGTCCAAGACATTTAAATCTCCAGTAGTTGACACCATTCAGTCACTTCCTCAACACCAGCAAGTAAGTTATAAATCAATACATAGACATTGGTATGTGGTACGTAAGTCAGTCTTGCGTAACAGATAGGATATGCTTACAACTTGCTTTTGCAAATCTTTAGTTTTGTTTTATAGTATGATGTGAAGTATAGTTGATATATTTTGAAAATATATTCTAATAAGCTTAAGGGAATACACACGAAGCCACAAGTAAACTTAAGACCTATGCTAGTGTGATCTATGACTAAGTTACTTATTGGTTAACTAGACTGAGTCTGTGAAAGTTAAGTAGTGGACTGTAATCAGATTGCTTGTATTGAAAACTTGCAGATCATAGTCTGTTCTGCTGCAAAAGCCTTTAGAGGAAGCAAAAAGGACAGAAGCATTGCAGAGGTAATAAAATTTTATTGAATGAACAATACATAAACTAAAGTTTTATAGACAGTTGTAGATAATGTTTACATCTCTGTTTTTGGCACAAATTGGATGCAGTTAAATAAGTTATACACGGAAATATGTAAATCATCGATGATCACTCCAGCTGGAATAACAGAGTTCACGAACATGTGTACAGTGCTAAACGACCAGGTACTAACACCTATAAAGAATACTTCATCATCTTTTAGGAGATTATATGAGGTAGAATGACTCTCATGTTGTGTGTTTTGTTTTTATATAATCAAAAGATAAAAACATAAGTATAATATTAAATTGGAACAGGGGATATTAAAACTGAGTAAAGCTCGAGATGATAAGCTAAAGAGAGTGAGCCTAAGAGTAGATGAAGCAGACATCACATTTGCTCTTAAGGTATATACAATACAACCCTGCACTCTTGTTTCAAAATAGCTACATACTTTTCTCCACAAATTGCAGTTTTCTTAAATTTAACAGCTTTCCCTCTTTATTTGCACAACAGGAAATTCGATTCTTCCGCAACTGTCTTCTATGATAAAGTGCCTTCTTCATTCTTTTACAGCATACAAAAAGGAAAAAACTCAATACGAACTCACAGAAATTGTTATGTAAAATGAACATAAACAAAATGTACTTTCTCTTTATTTTATTACACTGTACTAGTAAGAGTCGAATTAAAAAATTTATCATGTAAATTCGGATTCTACTTTCCATCACAGCGAATTACTCTTTTCTTTCAGCTAGTTTGACTTTTCAAAACTAGCTAACGTCTTCAATCAAATAAATTATGACGTTAGGCCTGTTCGTTTCGTAAACACGGCGTCCAGCGGTATCGGCAAAAATATGTACTTTGACGGAGGCAAAATAACAGTGTCAAAAGCGATAGTAATCATTGATGGATTGCCGCACACACAAAATAATGAGTCGCGGTGGTCGCTGATATTCTCCGCGTCCGTTTTATCCGTTGGTAGTTGCCGCAGCGATTGGAAATCAGTTGACTGTGCTTCACCGGTGCTGTGTGTTTCTGTCAGCAAAGGTTTAATTTTTGGACGCTGCCGCTGGATCCCGCGAGGATAAAACGAACAGGCCTGTTATTGTAATTTTCTTAGAAAGCTAACGAGTGATTGCGTCTGATACGTGATCAGTCAGACTCTTTAAACTCTTTAACCGTAACACATCATCATACGCTATAAGAATAGTGGCTGAACTGATTTTATTATTCTGTATGATACGATATATATACAAGGTACAGAACCGTATTAGGTATAATACAATGACTAAAAGACCCTTATATACATATTCTCTACACCTTCCCTCAAGATGGAGGGAGTTTGATCACTCCAATCTTGGACATAAGCTCATTGAACCGTGGTCTAGGCAATGGTTTCGTCAAAGCGTCTGCTAATTGATCACGGGTGGAGACATGTTGTACGCGAAGTGCACCGGACTGAACGTTATCACGAACAAAATGGAAGTCAAGTGCCAGGTGCTTCATCTTCGAGTGGAAAACTGGGTTTGCGCTGAGGTACGTTGCCCCTACATTATCACAGTACACCGTAGGAGTGGAGGGCTGCTGTACGCCAAGTTCCTGTAAGAGCGAGGAGATCCAGCACAGTTCCGAGGCGGTATTGGCAACAGAGCGGTACTCTGCTTCTGTTGAAGATCGCGCAACCCCGGTTTGTTTCCTTGAGGACCACGCAATAGGTGTCTTGCCTAGGTAAACAATGTAGGCATTAGTAGACACAAAGTCATCAGTGTCACCGGCCCAGTCCGCATCAGAGAAGGCGTGGAGATGGATAGAAGAGCTGGGAGTGATGAAGACTCCATGTGTTAGAGTTCCGGCGAGGTACCGTAGTATACGCTTCGCTGCTTGCCAATGGACATCCGTGGGACGATGCATAAACTGCGACAACCTATTAACACTGTAGGCAATGTCTGGGCGAGTGTATGACAGGTATTGTAGGCTACCGATCACCATCCTATATTCCTTCGGGTCGTCGAGTGGAGTACCCGAATGTAGCGATAGCCGAGGCGTGGTGGCTTGAGGCGTGGAGACTGGTTTCGCGTCGAGCATATGAAGTTTAGTGAGCAAGTCAACAATGTACCTCTGCTGCATCATGTGAAGTCCTCGATGTGTACGCGTAACCTCGATGCCTAGGAAGTAGTGTAGGTCTTGAGGTTCCTTTAGAGAGAAACGCGATGCTAGTACATTGATGCATGCATTGACGATGGAGATGGTGCTGCCGGTGATGATTATGTCATCGACGTAAATCAAGATGTAGAGGACTTGAGTGCCGTGCAGATATATGAATACTGAAGTATCTGCCGTCGAATTGTGACATCCCATTTGGAGGAGGAATGTCTTGAGTTCTTGGTACCAAGCTCTAGGTGCTTGTTTAAGACCGTATAAAGCTTTCTTCAAGCGGCAGACATGATGCGGCCTGTCTCGATCAACAAAACCTGGGGGCTGAGAGACGTACACTTCTTCTTTTAATGTTCCATGTAGGAAGGCGTTGTTGACATCTAGTTGCTTGAGAGGCCATGATCGTGTCACCGCTAGATGTAAGACGATACGGATGGTGACAGACTTGACGACAGGGCTAAAGGTTTCACCGTAGTCTACACCATACTCCTGGTTGTAGGCTCGTGCAACCCACCTTGATTTGTACCTGGCAAGTTCACCATTAGCCAAATATTTAAGAGTATGAATCCATTTTGATCCGATAACATTTTGATGAGGCGCAGGAGGGACCAATTCGAAGGTCTGATTAGCGATTTGAGCATCATATTCTACGCTCATGGAACGACGCCAATTCTCATCTCGCATAGCCTGGTGGATGGTGGTCGGGATTTGGATGTCAGGTTTGGTCTTTGTGGCTACAAGGGTGAGCTTTTTACTGGGTTTGGAGATTTGGTTTTTGGAACGAGTTCTCATAGGATGGATGTTTGGGAGTGGAAGCGAAGTGTTTTGTGAAACAGGCTGAGTATCGGTGGTGGTTTGTTGTGATCCAGGGTTGGGTATTTGTGGTTCACTGGTTTGTGTTTGTGGCTGGGTCGTATCTGTTGCAGTCAATATCTCTGTTGAACTCTGTCCAGTACCCGTACCTTGACTCGTTGCTGCAGGTGCAGTCGTTGTCGGAGGTCTTTGTTGGTGAAGTTCCTGAGCTGGGGGAGCTGTTGCCGGCGAGCGTACGAGTGGTGGCTGATGTATCGGAATAAAGGTTGGAGGAGAGAAGGTGGCATTAGGTTCTTCTGGTGGAGGGGTTGGTTTTGGTGGTGTTGTAAAGGGAAAGTCGGATTCTACGAAGGTCACATGCCTAGACGTGTATATGCGACCCGTAGGTTGATGGAGGCAAAGATACGCACTTTGCGTAAGAGAGTAACCAAGGAAAATACATCGGAAAGAGCGAGGGTCTAGCTTGTGAGATGTATACGGGCGTAACCAAGGATAACATGCACAACCAAAGATGCGTAGCTTCAAGTAGTTGGGTGGTTTCTTGAAGAGCATGGCGTAGCGAGATTCTTTGGTGAGGACCGAGGAAGGCTGCCGGTTGATCAAGTAAACCGCCACAGCGAAGGCATAGGTCCAGTAATCGGATGGCATAGACGCTTGATGGAGAAGTGTTAAACCCGTTTCGACAATATGACGATGTTTTCTCTCGGCGACACCGTTGTGTTCAGGTGTATGTGGTGGTGATGTGAAATGTGAAATACCGTGGGTTGCAAGAAACTGTCGAAGGGCCACAAATTCTCCACCATTGTCGGAGTAAAGGTTTCGGATGGGAAGGTTGAAGTGTTTCTCAACGAGGGTTTTGAATCGGGTAAAGATATCGCGCACTTGGGACTTTTGTTTGAGTGGATAAAACCAGGTATAACGGGTAAAGTGATCAACAAAGATAAGGTAGTATTTGTAGTGATCAACAGAGGTAAAGGGAGAAGTCCAGACATCGGTATAGATGTATTGAAGAGGTTGAGTTGAGGAGATAGAGTTTTGATGAAATGGAAGCTTATGAGTTTTATTAATAAGGCAATGAGAACAAGGTAATAGTTTTTGAGAAGTAGAAGAAACTGGCAAAGAAAACTTAGAAACAATAGTTTGTAAAGTAGAGATAGATGGATGTCCCAAGCGCGAGTGCCAATAGGTGATGGAGGTTTTTGGTGTTGGGGATGCAAAGAGGGAAACAGTATTGCGAAGTTACTGGCCACTCGTACAACTCGTCTTTAGTTTTCCCTTGGAGCAACCGGTCCCCGTGCTCAGATCCTTCACCTGAAAGTGGGCAGGAAAGAATTCAACAGAGACATTGTTAGCATTACAGAAACGATAAACGGATATAAGATTTTTCTGTAAATTAGGGACATAAAGAACATCATTTAAAGAGTAAGAACGAGTTGGAGTGGGAAGGGAAGTGGAACCAGTATGCGAGATAGGAATCGTCGAACCATCAGCGATTGTAACTTCTTCTCCTCCAGTGTACGGCTGGTGCAAGGAGAGATTGCTCAAATCTGTCGTTAGATGATGAGTAGCGCCGCTATCGAGGATCCAGTTGTTGGGATTGTAAGCTTGTGTCATTGCCATGTTAGCCCTTGGGTGCCATGAGGTAGGCGATGGAGTGGTGTTGCGCGTAGATGTCTGCGACCCAGAAGTGAAACTTGAAAGTTGTGGGCATCGCCGAGCACTGTGTCCATGCGCACCACAGAATTGACACTTTCCCTGATACCCCCGTGATTGTTGCTCCGTGCGCGGTGAGAACTGCTGTTGCTGCTGCCATGTTTGTTGGCCGCGGTAGTTGTTGTTGCTGGTGCTGTTACGGCTTTGTCCATGGTAGTTGCGGGTGTTGGTGTTGTTCGAATGTCCTCGAAACTGAGCCGCATTAGCCGTGACAAGTAGAGTAGCCGGTGGTAGACTCTTCGTTTGAAGCTTAACCTCGAAGTTGAGCAGCTTCTCGTGGATCTCCGTGATCGAAGGAGTCGTGTCACGGCTTTCGATTTGATCAACAATTTGTTTGTACTCTTCAGGTAAACCTTCGAGAACAAACTCAACCTGATCCTCCAGTTCGTAGGGCTTCCCAAGTAGCGCAAGCTGATCGAAACGAGTTGTGAACCCTTGGAGATATGCATCAATGGTCATCGTGCCCTTCTTCCAAGACTTCACTTGTTGACGGAGTTGCTGAATGTGTGCACGACTAGGCTTAGCGTAGGTGGCAGATAGAGTTGTCCAAATCTGAGCAGAGGTTGTGGTTGTTGAGAGTATTGGTTGAATGGTAACCGTGATGGCTCCAAGCAACGAGCTATAGATTAGCTGATCTTGTCGCTTCCAGATTGTATACGTGGGGTTCGTTGTTAGAACACCTTCGTTGTTAACAGTCGGATTCGGTGGAACAGAGGAGCCGTCAATGAAACCGGCGAGATCGTATCCATCCAACAGAGCTTTAACTTGGCGGCTCCACATCAGGAAATTCGAGGATGTGAGCTTGGTGACATTGTTCATGTTAACATTGAGGATGTGTTGAGAGTCTGAAACCTGGATGGTTTTATGCGATGGGGTGGAAGAGTTCGACATCAATGGTGGATGGAGGTTGAAGAAGACTGTCGCTGGTTGAAAAGAAAAGAAGGTAAACTCATGCTCCATCTTGCTATGTTATTATGGATATAAGAGGACACGTAGTTGATTGTGATATCGTCCTTGGTTGAGCACAGAAAGCCTTATGTGATCCATTGGGTGCGGATAGATAAGGATCGTTCTGTTGAAGATAATTATACTGATGGAATGTATCAGTTGGAATCTCTAGTCTCTAGAATTCAAGACAGAAACCGTGAGTACATCACTCTGCTAGTCTTTGTTGTGTGTTTTTATCTGTGGGTTGCATATGTCTGTTCTTTTGATTGCAGCCCCAAGATGCCTACTGGTTTCATAAAACTACGCACTGACCAATTCGGTCCTAAGCTGGAGAAATCAACTATGACGAGTGAGGCATATAAGGAGGCAGTGTTGGAGGCCAAAGAACATATCTTGGCTGGGGACATATTTCAGATAGTTCTTAGTCAGAGGTTTGAAAGGAGAACATTTGCGGACCCATTTGAGATATATAGAGCTCTTAGGATTGTTAATCCAAGTCCCTACATGGCTTATTTACAGGTATTCATATGTATCACACTATTGGTCCTTGTTTCCTTGCATGCTTCTGAAGATTGATATTTTACTAATCTGTGAATTTCTCTCTTTTATCTGTTTTTAATTTTTTGCAGGTCAGAGGATGCATATTAGTTGCTTCCAGTCCAGAAATTTTGTTACGTTCCAAACATGTAAGTGTTACCTCAGTATCTTCTTCGTTTACAAGTGAATGAATGGCTCAATGTGTGTGTTTATTTCCGCTACAGAGGAAAATTACCAACCGCCCCCTTGCTGGAACTGTAAGACGAGGGAAGACACCCAAAGAAGACCTAATGCTGGAAAAAGAGCTCTTAAGCGATGAAAAACAGTGCGCAGAGCATATCATGCTTGTTGATTTGGGAAGGAACGATGTCGGCAAGGTTCTTTTGTTTTTCAGCCTCTTACCCTCTTTCTTTTGTGAACTATATAGCAGTTTTTGAGGTGTAATCTAACCTATTGGAGTTGCTTGTGAACTCAGGTTTCAAAGCCTGGTTCTGTGGAGGTTGAAAAGCTCATGAATATAGAACGGTATTCACATGTAATGCACATAAGCTCCATGGTATGCCTGCTTCTATTGCAACTTTCAGAAAGCAAACAAAATATAGTTTTATGTTTGTCTTAACAAGGCATCTCCCTTTGTTGCAGGTAGAAGGCCAATTACTCGATGATCTAACAATCTGGGACGCTCTTAGAGCTGCACTTCCCGTTGGAACAGTCAGTGGAGCCCCAAAGGTTCTCTCTCACAAAACCCACAAACTCATTATTCGCATTCACCATGCTAAAAAGAAAAACTTCATTTGATACAGGTGAAAGCAATGGAGCTGATTGATGAACTGGAAGTAACTAGACGTGGTCCTTACAGTGGAGGCTTTGGAGGCATTTCTTTTAATGGAGACATGGACATTGCCTTGGCTCTCAGAACAATGGTCCTCCCAACAAATACACGTTACGACACATTGTACTCTTACAAGCATCCTCAGAGACGTCGAGAGTGGATTGCTCATATTCAAGCTGGAGCTGGAGTTGTGGCAGACAGTAACCCTGACGATGAACAGAGGGAGTGTGAGAACAAAGCAGCGGCTTTAGCAAGAGCCATTGATCTTGCTGAGTCTTCTTTTCGTGAGACACCTGCGTTACTACGCCTCGCATCAACAACGTCTTAGAATAAGCTAGTATTATTATACTCAAGCAGTTTGATTCGCTAGATTTTTTTTTTCATTTTTTTCATTTTATGTGTTAGACTTAGCGTGGCTTCTTGTAGTTTATTTTCAAACCCTCCAAAGAGAAAAATGAAAGTAAATATGCACTTGCCTATGGTTATATAATTTACATTTAGGGTTTAGAATTGGAGTGGAGTTTCAGGGTTTAGAGTTGGAGTGGAGTTTCGGGGTGGATTTAAATTTCAATAAAAATGAAAATGGAAGTGTAAAATTATTTTTTCTAAAAACGAATTCAAATTTTAAAATAAATAATTTGAAACTAGATTTTTTTTTCTATTTTTTTAAATTATTTATTTATATTCATATATAAAATAAAAAGTAGAACTGCTTTACCTCTTTAATAAAAATTATTTTGGTTAATTTTTTTCTTAGAGGTTATTTTATGACAAAAGTTTGAAAAGAACTATTTGAAAGAATTAACCATTTTTAGACAAAAAGACTTATAATTTACCGGTAATAAAACAAAAAAGAGCAAATTACACAATAAAGCGCATTTTGTGTTTTCATTTACTTCATAAAGTCACATTGGACTTATGACACCTATTTTAAGAGTGGTTTACGTAATTTACTCTTTAAACATGTGACTAAAGAAAAATGGTTATAACCACATACCCTTTCTAGCCAAAAAAAACACTCACTTATAGTTGTCTAATTGGCAAAAAACTTTATCTGACCTAGTTGAACCCAAATAGGCCCAAACCAAATCAAAGTATATATAAACCATTTGGTTTATGATTTTATCAATTCAAATGATATGATTTTGTTTGGTTTTAAACTAAACTAAACCAAAAAAACCAAAGTATTTTTTAATTATACTAGTTTTTCTTATCATCGTCTTAAACAGACTCATCTAAAACTCTACAAACCAAATTGATAACTCTTTATCCAAATAAACGACAAAAGATTATTGTTTCATGGCACTAAGTGCAAGACTATCTCGGCGTATAAATAATTACATCAATTAAATATATTAATAATATTAAGATTTAATATATTCAACTATTTAACTTAACATATTTTTATACATTTTAGTTCAAAATGAATAGAATAAACGCAACGACAAATATAATAAATGAATATGAACCTGATGATAAAAAAATATGAATCTTTTACCATCCAAACAAAAAATACCTATGATATTTTTTAGGTTTGAAGATAATAATATAAAACTATTGGATTATATTATTGTAATTTTTTGACTTTATCTTTAAATATGAAAAAATAAATGATTAGTGTCAAATGATAATTTTATGTTTTTATAAATTATATTTTTTTTGTAACTGAACTAAAACAAAAGTAAAAAAAATCAACTTGATTGAACTGGATAAACACAAATAAATCAAATTAAACCCAACTGAACCCAAATCAAATCAAACCAACCAAGCACAACCAACCAAACTAATCTGGGTTGATTTTGGTTAATTTTTTTTAAAACCAAATAAATCAAACCGAACCAAACCTAAACGAAACTTGTAATTAAACCGAAATGTTCACCCCCTTGTGTCTTCTCTCACTTAAACCTTACAAAACAACATGTTTTCTCTCCTATGAAAATGCATTGCTTTATTGATCCAAAAAGGATTATCAGAAGTTTCTTCCATCAATATTCTTCAGACAGAAAAAATTGATAGTAATATTTTGTCACACCACACGACCGCCATTATGATCAGAGAAATGGTGGTGACTGAAGAAAACATTTCAATTCTCCATGGCGTGAAGCTAGGTAATATTGAAACGGTACTGTGATTTGCATTCAAAGATCTATGATGGAGTTTTGTTTGAAGCTAGCTAGGACTTGCATCACTACAAAATAGTATATTGTGAAGGAATTTTAAAACTAAAGTTATCCATACCAAGAAGATTTATGACTAAATATTTATGTCACATATTAGTAGTTGCTTTGTCACAATATTGTGATGGGTTGTGACATAATGAATTTTTATCACAATTAATGACATAACCAGTTTAAGATCCATGTTTGCTTGTATATGAATATTGTATAAAATGATTATTTTTACATACTATTACTTATTTTACATATTATAAAACTAACAAATATATATATATATATATAATTGAAATGATATAGCATAGATATAGAGCATATCTTAATATGGATTTTATTACATGAGACTTATTAATCACTAGTATTATTGCCCCTGCTATGCAGGAGCACATTATATTTGTCAATATATAATGTTAATATGAAATAAATTATAATTTTGAGGTAGATAAGCATACATGTTAAAAATATGAATATAAGTGTTACTAAATAACTTTAATTTATTATAAAAATATTTTAGTAGGTATGAATGGTTAATTTTTTCTTTTTTAGATAGAAATCTCTAAGAAACATATATATATATATATATATATTAATTTTACAGCAATTAAATCTATTAATAATTCTATAACAAATAAATCTATTAATATTATTTGTTCAATTAAAAACATTAACCAAAAAAACACAGTAAAATCAACGAATTACGTAAGGTTAAAAAGAAAGAGAACACTCGCATGCACACAATTTTTATTACTTTTTTTGTAGCTTCAGTTAATATTACTTTTGGTTTTCTTTGTTTACTGGATTTGTTCTTGCTAACTTTATGAAATCTTGAATAAACATCAATGTTCCAATGAATAGCTAAGTGATTAGAAAAGTAACAACACCGAGTTAGTAAAAGACGTCAATCTATTGACGTTCGTGAACCCCGGGTGTCTAAATGCTGTTACTGCTTCCAAGTCGGCTTTCATTGGTAATTTTTTCAAGTTTTAGATGACTTATATGTTGAGTTGATTTCACTGAAAATTTTATTTGCATAAAAATGTCAAACAATTTTGCCCTTTTTTGAAAAAAAAATGTCAAACAATTGATACACTTAAATTATTTTTTGGCTGACCATAAAGCTTTGCAATGAATTGTGAATAGAAACTGATAAAAACTAAGCACGAAAAACTCTCACCCATCCACATGTTCTTCTCGTCGGCCCATCTGTCAATGATATGGTGTAAACAATATTTAAAATCTCAATAAAACTCAAAAAGCATTAAAAGTTATCATTGGCGGATGAAATAAATGTGAAAACTAACTCACTCTTCTTTTTCTTTCTAGCTTCGTGTTCCACCTTCTTCAAGCTCATGTTTTCTTTGTGATCAATGGAGTTTTTAGCTGGTTATTTCTCGATTATTGTGGACCATTTTCTGATTAAGGTGATTCTCTCTTATTTTGCTTCCCTGAACTATAACGACCATGCAAAATAAATATATTCCAGCAAATGAATAATCTTTTTATTAATTTTGAAAAGGTTATGTACTTGTTTTTGTTACGTTTATCTATTTCACCATGCTATATGAAGAGTAAAAAGTTTGTGAAATTTATGATTGAAACATAAAAAAATTCGGCATTTTTGGAGTTACTAACCTGACGTATATACCAACTTTGGAGTAAGCACCATCCACTTGTCAACTACAGATTTATGTTTTTTTTTCATAAGAGTCTTGTTGCCACCGATTCCCAGGAGAGAAACGGGAGTTGTACAAAGAGTTCAGGAATCAAAATTTCTGAAAGCAAGTAGAACTAGATTAAGTTAATGGTATCATGAGTTAAATAGTCTTCACTAAAAAGAAATATTAACCGTTGCAAAATCGTGAGAGTGAGATCATGGGAATATTAGGGATTTTTTTTAAAGCAGTTGTAGGATAAATAAGCGAAAGTTACGAAACTGATTTTGCATTTACATTATTTTATTTTTACATTTTTCTTTAATTTGTAAAATAAATGACACATGTCAAAAATTGATTTGCCAAGTAATTTATGCTTTAGTATATAAAGGATATGGTTTTATAATTATCTCTATCTTTTTATATCAAAAATTGTAAACCCGTGATAGCAAAAAAATTCAATGTGGAATTTTAATATCTAATAATTTATAATCATTCTTAAAAAGTCTGAAAATTTTTAAATTAGAATTTTAATTTATAATTCTTGTTTAATGAAATTTTGAAAGTAAAATATTTGTGTATTTTTATATGGTATATATCTTAGTATATATATATATATATATGAATGATTTTGAATATCTATTAAATTAGACTTTTTGTTCATTTTGTTTTATGACAATTTATATCTTTTTATAATAAAATTTTTAAACCATTGATCACATTTTTTTTAGTGGGACTTTAACAATTTTTATTAGTTATAGTCATTGCTAAAAATTCAAACTATAACATATTCAAAAAATATAAATTTTTTATTATAAGATTAATATGATTGTTTATTTTATTTAATAATAAAAGTAAGCATAAATGATGGAAAATACACAAATTGTTATAAATTTTTAATATTAAGACCATTAATTAAATAATCATATTAGATAATCTCGTAGCTTTTATTTATAGAAAGAATAAAAATATTAGTTGTACATCATTTAATTAATATTATGGTTAGTTTAATAAAAAGAATATAATATATATTTAATAGACAAACATATTTCTCTAGATATTTTGAGAATTGTTTTAGTGATAACACGTATCATAGCTAAAATATTGTGATGCTTATCTTTTATTATATATTAGATGTTGTCCGTGATTTCGCGGATATACACATTGTATGAAAATTAAATTGTATTTTAGTAATTTTGATTATTATTCCTAACTATTAAAAATAAATGGTAACTTTAAATAGTTTGAAAATCAAAAAATTTGGTATTAAAAAATTGTAGAACAGTTTGATTATATATGATAATTCTATAAATGTTAATCTAAGTATACTGAACATAAAGATGGTGATATAATAATAAAATTAAGAACTAAACCTAATTTTAAACTTTCCAATAAATTAAAATTTAAAATACGAATGTAAAAACAATCAATGTTATTTTAAATAATAAATTTTTAATATAATGAAATTTAACTAATAAATAATTAATTTAAACATTAATAAA